ATCTTTCCCATTTTTAAAGTTCTTCTTTAATTCCTTCACCAATGGTTTATAGTTTTCTATGTATAATTCTTTCACCTCCTTGGTTAGATTTATTCCCAGATATTTTAAAGAAACAATCCCCTTTAAAATAGCACCCAAAGTTATAAAATAAAAGTTCTTTCTTGATGGAAGGATTTGGATGGAAGTGATTTTTCCATTTTTAATCTTTAGAAAGAGGTCATGGTCATATATTCCCCAATAGCACCTTAATGATATCTCTAGCCCTAGGCAATATTATATATAAAATATAGAATCAGAATTGTGGCAGTGGGCCTAATCATTTAGCCTGTCCATGAGTTCTTTGACTGCCTAATCCCACCTTGATTTCTGTTCAAGGAGTAATCTCTTCCCCATTGTGTGCAGTCTTGGAGGGAAGTAGCTTCTGTTTCCTATTGCAGAGTCATGGGAATTAGATAACCCCTCTCTATGGCCCACTGCATGCAGTGGCTGGAATGTCATCTTGGCCAAGCCAATGGGATGCTCTACCCGGACCTAAGTAAATGATGCAGGGATGTGAGTCATGGTCAGAGGTTATTCTTTACCACTGTAGTGGTAACAGTCTTCCTAAATTCCTGATTTATGCCATTCCATCTGTGAGCCCCAGATGTCATCCAAGTAAACCCTTTGTGCTTAAAACTGCCAGGGTAGATTTTGATGCTTACAGTCAAAGACTGAATTTTACAATTGCACGTTGGAGGAGCTCTTGAAAGTTCTGTCTTAGGAAAAGATGTAAACAAGGTGAGAGTGGTCACCTGGAAAACAGGATTCAGAAAAACTAACCTGTTGAGGTACAGCCTTCACTGTCCCAGAAAGACTGACAGTGGGCCTGGAGCACAGAGCAGCAGAGGGCAGTTCAGACATCAGTTATGTGGACTGGGCTCGCTGCTTTGGAGAAAGGAAATCACACTGCACAGGGAAGAGTCAATTCTCAAAAAAAAAGTCAATTCTCAAAGGGGGGGGGCTTTAAAATGTGAAGCAAAGGATATAGGATATAATAAAGGATTTTTGAGTTCCCTAAGCCTGGCTTTTGAGGACCAAAATTCAAATCATGGAATGTAACCAATAGAGTTGAAAAAAATGCATGTAACATAAGAGCCAGTTTTTCTACCCTAAAACCATGAAAAAAAAAAAAGTTCGGGCTAAAGCAGCAGAAGAGCCTGAGAAGAGGGCAGTGGGGACTCGGGTTGGGTATGTTCTGAAGGAGCGCCTCATCCCATTTTCTCTGTACTGTCCCCCTTCCAAAAGAGGGGTAGAGGATCAGAAAGCAGGTTTTATGTGCGTAGCCTCTGAGTGAGCCTAAGGAGGCAGGAAACCTTCTTGTGATCCTCACACCCAGGGTGGTTCGCAGGGGAAGAGTAGACACAGGGCCACACTGTCCAGGTAGAGGGGCTGGATGTACCCTATCACCACCACCAAGTTTTGATGGCACTGGAGAGAATCAGAAAGTTTCACTGGTCCACAGAAAGGTCCCGAAGAGTCCCAGAGAGGGTCAATTCCTCTGAGGATCCAAGAGGATGCTGTGTGCATGGACCAGTGCCTGCACATCAGATGGGAACTTACCTTCTCCATAGATAACAGTGGAGACAGATGCCAAAACATAAAAAAGAATGGAGATGAAATATATTTTGGTGCATGTCAGAGCAGACACATAGGATCTTGGACCATAATCCTGGTCCCCGAAACCCAACCTCATAAAGACATGGTGCTACATAGGCCCACTGGCGTCCAAATCATTTCAGCTGGAAAGAGGAATGAAGTAAAGGGGGGAAATTGCTCATTTGATTGAGTTTACTGGTATTGATAAGATTATATTTTCTGCCATCAGGGAGAATGGCAGCTCAAGAGAGGATCTATTTTAAATTATAGAAAAGTTTTTAAAAATATATATATTTTTGGATGGACAAATTATGGATCAAAAATATTATGCCTAATAAATATAACCAAGAGCATATAATTTACCCTTCAAATATCTGATAGAGATCTTTTGCACTTACCTGCCAGAATTCACTTCTTTATTCTGCTAGGAGCACTTAACATTTTTCTTTGGGAAATTTCCATTCTGTGCATGTTGCGCCTGTGAGACTGACCCCACCCTGTGACTCTAGGGTTGGCAAGTCACCCAGGCACGGCAGATTGGTGGCAAAGCGACTGCTTCCAAAATGAGTTGTTGTCATGAGACAATCCAAAACTAGGAGTTATCTTGAGGTATTTTCACTATAACTGTTGGAAAACAAATGCTGGTGTGGAAATTCTGGTGGCCATCCTTGCCATGGGAAGGTAAAAGCCTGTCTGGGAGTGGAACCAAAACAGAGAAAGTAAAGAGATGGTGAAACAAAAACTGTCCCGAAGTCCTTACTGAAGGTCTAGGTCTAGTTCTGCCTGGATCAGAACAAGAATATGTCTTGAGTAGGTGCAGCGAGATTTTTTTCTTTTTTGTTTTTTCCTATTCTTTAAGTAAAATGTATTGACTTGTAACCAAAGAAGTCATAATAGAAATGCATTCTCTTTAAAATTAAAAACAAAACCTCTACTCCTTAGCAAGCCCTACCAGCTCCTAATCATCAGCTCCTCGTCTGACTCCGCAACCTCATACCGTCCCCTTCCCCTCCAGCAAAGCTCCACTCTCACTAGACTGTTCTCCCTCAGCTTTCTAGCTCTCCTCTCTGGGCTTCAAATGCAAATATTAACTATTAAAGAGAGCTTTTCTGACCAATACCTGCTCCCCATCTCTCTACCTCAGATCTTCTCATTTCATCACTTACTTTGAACTTTATTGCCTTCACAGAAGTTTTCAGTATCTGCAATAATCTTGTCTATTTAATTGTTTACTTTTTCATTGTCTGCCTTCTCCAACCAGAACATAAGCTCTGTGAGGGCAGGTACCTTCTCAGTCTTGAGCAACTCATTGTGCCAGACGTCCAGTAGGCACCTAGTAAGTACTGCCAGAACAAATCAATGAATTTCGCTTTTATATTCAGCAATGATCTAGTGTTTGCTATACAATGTCAGGTACCATCCTAAACGTTTTCTAATTAATACCATTTCTAATTCTCATAGCAATCCTATGAGGTTAGAATTGGTATTACCTCACTTTAACTGATTGCGAAGCTGAGTCACAGTGGTTAAGCCATATGCCCAAGGGGGAGCGCCAAGGAAGAGTCACATCCAGCAGCTGGCTCCTGATATCCTTTCTCTCGTCCTCTGTGCCATGCCTCTGGAATGATTTACTGAATGATTTGATGAGCAAGTTGGCTACTAAGAAACTGATCATCTCCAGGTAGGCTGAGAACGCCCAGTTCTGATGCTAAGCAGCAAGCATTGACCACGGAATCCATGGCTCAGCCCAGATACTAGTGCTAAGAGGTCCAGCCAGTGGCTGCAGGATCTCCTCTCTCATTTACTGCTGCTGCACAACGCAAGCTTGGAAGAGTTGTTAGTTGGCAGTGGTGGGTTATGAGTGCTCGTAAAATATTTTAACATCTATTTAATATGGTTGTGTAACTTTGGTCAGTTGAAAATATACCAATTAGTTCACTCATGGGGAAAGACTGCTAGGGCTGTCAATGAGGGGAGACCTCAAAGGCATGTTTTTACCATTCTTTATAAAGCAGCCATGCCATTTTACAAAGTTTGATCAACCACTTTACTCCTGTTGAATTTTTGCAGTGTATTCCAAACCCTACTCCTGCATGTCCTTTAGTAAATTTACAATCTATGGTCCAACACTACTAATCACCTGGAAATAAGATGAATCATAGTAAAAAGGATATTCCTCGTTTAATCTTCAAAGCCATTTTTATGTTATCCAACATTTTAAAAAGCTGTAGGTATATTCATTTCTCTCCATTGACAACATTAGTCTTCCCTTAGTACAGACAACTTTTTTTCTTTTGTCCTTCTTTGGGTAAAACTTAGCCCTACAGAAACAAGTTGCAGCTGTTGTTCATATTTTTTATGCTGATAGGAAGCCGTCAGACATTTCAACTATTCCATTTTGTTTAAAAGTAAGTTAACAGTTCAGTTCACTCTTAAGAAGGCACCGATGAAGAAATTGTACAGGAATGTGTTTGTGGCCAACTGAATGTTTGTGATTAAAAATACTTGTGAAAGCAACACTGCTAGACTTGAAAAGAGTTATACAGTCCTGCCTGGGAGAAGTTCATTGAGGGAGAACCCACTAATGCTTGAAGTGGTAGCTTTTGACCTCTGGCACTGGTGAATACCAACCAAGTGATGCTCAGACTTCACTTCTTAATGACTAGACCTTACATAACGTCCTTTCCTTCATAACTCCACGAAGTCTCCGATATTTAGAATTATAGAGAGCTGACATAATGGGATATGTTTTGGTAACCAGCCCCCTAAACACCGACCACTCCCTCCTCCTGTCTGCATTCCTAACCCCGAATTACACTGATTTCCTTTTCTGGAAAATTGAAAAGTGTTAGGAAAATCAGTATTTTGTAGACTTTCTCTATCTCAGAGTTCCCACTAGCAAATCATCTTACCTAATCTTACGAATTAGGGGCTAAAAGCATGGACCTGAGGTTAAACGGATTAGAGTCAGCACCCAGCTGAGGGAAGTCTGTTAGACAGTAACCTCACCACTTAATAGCTGTCTAATTTAAGGTGAGTAACAAAAGTTTTCTAAATATCAGCTTAGTCATCCGGGAATAACATTGCCCACTTCATAAAATGTAGGGGCATTCAAGAAAATAATCTGTGTCTAATACCAAGTCTCTATTAATTCATCAACAAAAAACCCTAATAGTTACAGGAAATATTAAAAGCTTAGCTTACAATCAAACATATTTGGCTCCAGTTACCACCAGCTGGTAAGGGTTAGAACAAATTCAAATTAACTTAAGGAAAGAAATAATTAACTAATAATAATTCAAAATAATACTGGGGAGTTTCATAGAACCCCGGGACAGGAGTGCCGCTGGGTCTCAGGAAGAATTAGAAGAGGAATTCCACAACCAGCAGGAATCTCTCTGTCTCTGTCTTTTCACATTCCTGAATATCCACTTGAGCCTTCTCCCTTCCTCTTTATTTTCTCCCCTTTTCTTGATCACAGAGTGGAAGTCATGACCATAAACATATTCCAAGGGTTGCAAGGTCAGCCATTCAAGAGGGAGAAATTGCTAATGCCGTATCCAAATTTCTGAGGAAATGGTTACTAGTCTACTTTGGCTCATGAACCCACTCCTGGTCTAGTAACTGAAGCCAGGTGGCTCCTTGCTATAATCATGTTGCTGGATCGGGTTAATGGTAGGAAGGAACACCTTAGTTTCTAGGAAAGGACTTTCACAGGTAGCCATATAAATCGCCAGCTTTCTCCAACTGTCCAGCTTTCTTCTTATGTTAGACAGCATACACTTGAGAGGAAGAGCTACCTTCTCCCTGAGTCATTCTTTCCTTCCAGTTTTATTGAAATATAACTGATATACAGCACTGTTTGTCAGTGCTATACGTTTATGGTGTACAATATAATGATTTGACATACATACATCATGAAATGATTATCACAATAAATTTAGTGAGCAGCCATCATGTTACATAGATACAAAATTAAGGAAATAGAAAAAAATATTTTTCCTTTTGATGATAACTCAGGATTTACTCTTAACAACTTTCATTCATAACATACAGCAGTGGTAATTATATTTATCATGTTGTGCATTGTATCCTTAGTAAGTTATTTATAACTGGAAGTTTGTACCTTTAGAACATCTTTATCGAATCCCAACCCCACTTTGGTAACCACAGATGTAGTCTCTTTTTCTAATTGTCTTTTGAAATTTAATTGACCTACAACACTGTCTTAATTTCTGGTACACAAGATAGTGATTCTCTATTTCTATATATTTCAAAATGATCACCATGATAAGTCTAGTTAAGATCTGACACCATACTTAGATACCCATAGTAATTGACTATATTCCTCACACTGTACATTTCATACTTGTGACTCATTTATTTCACAATTGGAAGTTTGTACCACTTAATCTTCCCTGCTTTTCTCTCCTCATCCCTCTCCCTTCTGGCAACCACCTGTTTGCTCTCTGTGTCTAAAACTCGTTTTGTTGTGTATTGTTATGTTTGTTCATTTGTTTTGTTTTGTTTTGTTTTCAGATTCCACATATAAGTGGAGTCATACAGTATTTGTCTTTCTCAGTATGAATTATTTCACTTAGCTTAATACCCTGTAGGTCCATCCATGTTGTTGCAATTGCAAGATTCCATGCTTTTGATGGCTGAGTAATATGCCATTGCATGTATATACCACGTCTTCTTTATTCATGCATCTGCTTATGGGCACTTAGATTCATTTCATATCTTGGCTATTGTAAATAATAGTGCAGTGAACACAAGGGTGCATTATCTTTTCTTATTAGTGTTTTAATTTTCTTCAGATAAGACACAGAGTGAAATTGCTGGATTATATGGTAATTCTGTCTTTAATTTTTTGAGGAAACTCCATACTGTTTTACATAACAGTGGCACCAATTTACATTTCCAGTAACAGTGTGCTAGGGTTCCCTTTTCTCCACATCCTCTCCAACATTTGTTATTTCTTCTCCTTTCAGTACGGTGGTTTGTGGTATGTGTAAGGTGATATCTCATTGTGGTTTTGATTTGCAATTCCCTGATGATTAGTGATGTTGAGCAACTTTTCATGTTTCTGTTGACCATCCATGTGTCTTCTTCAGAAAAATGTCTGTTCGGGTCCTCTGCTCATTTTTTAGTCAGGTTGTTTGGGTTTTTTTTTTTTTCCCAGTTTTTAAATTGAATTAAAGTCAGTTTACAATGTTGTTTCAATTTCAGGTGTACAGCATAATGTTTCAGTCATATTTTAAAATACTGAGTTGTATGTGTTCTTTGTATATTTTGGATATTAACCCCTTATGAGATATATCATTTGCGAATAACTTCTCTCCATCAATAGGTAGCCTTTTCATTTTGTTGATAGTTTCATTCATTAGGCAAAAGCTTTTTAGTTTGATGAAGTCTAGTTGGTTTATTTTTGCTTTTGTTTCCCTTGCCTGAGGAGACCAATCCAAAAAAATATTACTAAGAGCTTACTGCGTATTTTTACTTCTAGAAGTTTTATGGATTTAAGTCTTACATTTAAGCCTTTAATCCATTTTGAATTTATTTTTATGTATGGTGTGAAAGTAGTCCAGTTTGATTCTTTTGCATGTAGTAGTCCAGTTTTCTAACACCATTTCGTTGAAAAGACTGTCTTTTCCCCATTGTCTATTCTTGCCTGCTTTGTCATAGATTAA